TAAGGATTCTTACATCCTTTTAGGAGCCCTTTTTGGTGGCAAACAGACTTATACCTGCTGGCCACATGTTACACCCACCTTTGAGAGTCCCACTGTTCCTTCCAGCCCATTCAACATCTGACTGTCATCCTCATGGCTCTGTTCCCCATTGAGCCCTAGTCCTCAAGTTGACTGTGCTCCCCAAGTGGCCCAGTGGACCAACTACAGGTCTCACTTCCCTGCGGTTTTCTAATGACCTTCTGAAGCACCCACAAACAGGATGCTTGGTCTGTTGGGATTAAAAAAGAAAAAGAAAATCCCTTACACTATTTTTGAAGCCATAGTTTTAAAACATACACGTGCTAATTTACATCAGCTGAATATAATCTTAAGCTTAAAAAGACTACCCTGTTCCTGGCTGGATTTTTGCATAGGCCTCAGAAAGGCCTTTTCCCTGCATCCTCTGACTGTATCTGGCATGTGTGTGGATATGTCACTGACAAAAAGAGCATTTGCAGCTCTGCACAAGTCTTTGGATTACAAGCGTGTATATGTCTACTTATGTAAAGTGACACAAGTAACTACACACCAAGCACACACACATGCAATTACACTCAGCTAAGTGCCAGACACGGGCCTGAGAGCATCTGCTTGGCAAATGCACTAGGCAAGATTGTGCAATCACATGTGGCACCATTGTAATAACATGGTACAGATCCTTTTACTTTCATTATAAGTTCTCAGTGTTTCAGGAGAACTCTAGTTATGAAAAAAATCTCCCAAACTACAAGCGATTTTCAGTGATTCAATTTTCTTAGTGATTCAAATTTGTAGTAAAAGAGATTCAGATTCTTCTTTTCTTCTTCCTAGATTCTGAGTATCTTTAAAGAGTATTCTAAGATTGCAAGATGATGTACAATAGCCAACACCCAGTGCTGTCAGAACATTTCCACTCATGGCAATGTCCTGAGGCTGTGTATTTTTACAGAAGGACACTGCCCATTTGTTTCCCAGTGTTGGCTGGTGGATTTGAACTTTCAACCTTTCAATTCCCAGTCTAACACATTACAAACTATGCTACCAGAGCTCTTACTTATCATCTACAAGTATGTACCTATATGGACCAGACTTCACGAGCGCTGGTAGCCTAGTAATTAAGGAGTTGTATTGCCAACACAAAGGCAAAAGGTTCAAATCTACCAGTGACTTTAAGGAAGAGAGATGGGCAATCTCTTCCCATGTGATTTACAGCCTCTGATAAGTGGCTGGAAACCTCTGAAAGCCCTCTGAGTCCTTTCCGACTCACAGCATTGAGTTAAGTTGATGCTGAAGCGAAATGAAAACTAATCTAGATGCTGAGACTGCTCTATAAGTCATCATCCCTAAATCTTGATTTCACTAGTGTTGATCAAAACAGGCTCCTTGCTCTCATGGTGTATATATATTCCAGTGGTGATGGCTACATAGTCATGTCTTGAGTTGGACACATGAACTTGGTTTTAGTAGCAAATGTTTGGGGAGATCTATAAAGATCTTATATCCACAATAAAAAGTGTATGCTATTATATATCTTATGTATTGAGATTTTTCACTGGACATTTTTAACTGAAAAAAAATTTTACAAAGATTTCTACCAGATTTACAAACAAAAGTTGATTTAAAGAAAAGAGTGAACTGTGGGGGGGTAGGGAAGAAAATGTGCAACAATGAATGAATGGAAATCCATGTTTTCTGCAACTTTGTTAAAGTATTAATAAAAAAAATTAAGTTTCGAAAGCCAAGTATTAGCATAAAAAAGCAATAGCTGTAACACAAAAAAAAAAGTTGAAAGATAATTGAATGATCATTTCTATAACGTAGACTATAGTTAAAATGCTCGGAGTCTTTGTCCTGACTCTGCACATAAAGGAATCTGATGACAATGACTTAAGCTTGCTGAGCACTAGTCTTCTGATCTACAGCATAGCGATAATGGTAGAGTGACAGTTCCGTAGAGACTTTTCTCTTTCCATGCCACAGATCTGGGTTCGATTCCCAGTCATTGTACTTCAAGTACTACCACCTCCTGTCAAATGATGCTTGCAGGTTGTGAAAATATTAAACAGGTTTCAGCAGAGTTTCTGGACTAAAACAGAGGAAGATGGCCCAGTAATCTGCTTTGGAACATCAACTCATTGCCATCAGTCAGAATCAACCCATGACTGACTCTCCATGGCCTTTTAGAGGCTGCACAAGAAGAAACTGTCCATCATTCTCCAAAGGAGCCACTGGTAGTTGGGAGCTGTCAGGAAAGCAAAGCTTTTAAGCTAGCAGCACAACTCTCTAAGAACTACACCACCAGAACTCCATCTAGTGAAAATACTGTGGCTCACAACAGTCTAATTCACAATCATCCTAAGCTGGGACCGATGCTGGACACTGTTCTACTGTTCACGTGGGAGTCACCATGAGGGGGACCAACTGTACAACAAGTAACAAGAGTACCCACTTCCATCCAATACTAGGGAAGAACCACATGAAAACTGCAAGTGAAAGTACCAGAGATTTTGAAAAGACACAAGAGAAGTTACCTTTTACAAACACTAGATCAATTAATATGACTTTGATTTCATCCCACCTGAATTTCAGAATCATCTCAGGAACAGATTTGAGGCTTTGAACACTAATGAGCAAAGACCAGATGAGTTGTGGGAGGATGTCAAAGGTATCATCCAGGAAGAGTGCAAAC